AGAGGCCTCTAGATCTGAAGATGATGGCGGAATCATATTCTCCGATACAGAGATCAAATCCTGGACGGCTAATGGATTCGAACTTCCATCACCTTTAAAGAGGATAATGAAGCATTCACGTATATGATGTCGAACGAGGAGTTTGATACGCCTGTCTCGGATATACCGGAGAACCTCAACACAGCCTTCAGGAAGGCAACGAAGTTCCAGAGTCAAAGCGTCCCGCCATTCAACGCCAAGAAGTTCTCACTTCACCACATGGAACCCTTCATGAAGGCCCCAGAGATAGATGAGAACTACAAAATCATCAACGACTCCCGATCAAGGACTTATAAAATAGAGGATAAGAAGCTGGCACAACTAGACACAACTACCAAAAGTACCTTCTTTGGTCTAGCCAGGTCAAGAGCCATCAATGAAACCCTCATCACGAAGTTCAGGAACTCGACCTCTGAAGTGGATAGGATGATTTACTCTGCATTGCTGACCCAAAGAAAGAACATCAGTTTTTGTCCGAACATCTGGCATCCACTTCAGCAGGCCTGACGCTCTTGAGAAGACAAGAATTGCTGTCTTCCTGCAGTTGGAGTGAGCGCTTAACCAAGATACTGTACAGAGCTCCGTGGTCAGCATCATCTATCTTCGCAGGGGAAATTGAGGACGTGGCCAAAGAAGTCACGAAAGAGTCAAGGGAGGTAATGATGATCAAGTCCATCGATACACTGGCCAGTGTTATCCGTCAGACGTCGCAACGCCTCTCCGGCAAGTCGAAGTTTACGGGGATACAGTGAGCCAGGGAAAAGAAATACGGCAACTCCAGAGGAGGCAAGGATTCTTTTCGTCACCCAACCAGAGCTCCCAGAGGTAACCCCGGAAGAGGCAGAGCACCCAGAGGTGCCAGGAACTTTAGAAGCTGAAGGACGGGTTTGGAACGACTGGAGTCTTCCACCCCTAGCCGTTCCGGTACAACCTTCAACAGTGGGTGGACGTCTGCAACGCTACTGGGAGAATTGGGGAATTCTTCAGGACGACTACGTATCCCAGATCCCACGCAGAGGATACAAGATACAACTACAAGCAGTACCACTGTTGACAAACAACCCTCTGGCCCACAACTATGCTGCCGTCCAGATGGAGAAGCTACTCGATGCCATCACAACTCTACTCGAGAAGGAGGCGATCGAAGAAATAAAACAGGAGCTTGTCACGCCCAGTTTTTACTCTCCAATCTTCCTGGTACCAAAGGAAAATTCCAAGGAAAAGTTCCGACTCATCTACAACATGAGGAAATTCAACCAAGATTATCTACGCAGTCCCGCAAATTTCAGAATAATACACCTTCCTCAACTGCGACAACTCGTTCGTCCGTTAGACTACCTCGCCAGCATAGATCTACAGGTTGCGTATCTTCACATCCCGATACATCCGGACTCAAGGAGATACCTACGATTCCTCTTCAACGGACGTCATTTCCAATGGAAGGTGCTACCATTTGGAATATCGTCAGCCCCCTGGTTGTTTACTCGAGTGACAAAGCCCATCATCACATATCATCGAGGTCTACGCAGTGTGTTTTACCTGGACGATGGGATTCAAGCTGATCAAGATCCCAGTCAACTCAGACTGCAACTAGACTTCACAATCAGGCTACTCACTCAACTAGGATGGCTAGTAAATCTCCTCAAGTGGGAACTAGAACCCACACAGGATCTTCAATTCCTAGGAATACGGCTCATCACATTGGCAAATCGCAAAGTCGTCCCAGAAGAGCGTTGGGTCAAGATACAACAAATGATATCTCAAGCACTACTCTCTCCGTTACCACTACGAAGTTGGCAGAGCCTACTTGGTCTTCTCACGTCAGCACGAGACATGACACGCAGAGGAAGACTACAACTGTGCCCACTACAAGTGTTCGTGAACGCTCATCTAGACAGTCTGGATACTAAGGAACACATAACTGATGATCCATACGGACAACTCCACAGTGGCGTTCTACATCAACAAACACGGATCAACAAGGTCAAGGAATCTTCTAGACCTCAGCTTTCATCTGTTCAGCATAATAGACAACCTGAACATCGACATAAAAGCATGTCACATCCCGGAGCCAAGAATGTGATAGCTGACGCCCTATCTCGTCCAACACAACCTTCTCCGACGGAATGGATGTTACATCCAGAAACCTTCAGATGCATCATACAGAGGATAGGATCTCCGCTGATAGACCTGTTTGCTACAAAGTTCAACATACAACTACCAACATTTGTCTCTCTGGTTCCAGATCCACAAGCATGGGCAACAGATGCTCTAAGCATCTCCTGGGAAGGACTAAAAGCTTACGCATTTCCACCCCCAGCTCTAATACCGCAGGTGTTGCAGAAAATCAAGCAGACAAAGAAGCTGCAGCTGATTTTGGTCGTGCCCTACTGGCCAGCGAGGGTGTGGTTTCCCATCCTCATACAAGAACTCGGAAGTCCAACCCTGCAACTCCCAGAGTGGCCGAACCTACTAATTCATCCGCACACCAAGCAAGTACACGGGAATCCAACAGTATTCCAGTTACACGCATGGAACGTATCAAGACTTGCTTGAAGAAAAGAGGATATTCTGCCAGAGCAGCGAAAGCAGTCACACTAGCTCTACGTAGATCAACCCGCAACTTGTACGACGACAAGTGGCAGAGTTTTGAGAAATATGCATTGAGGAAGGGCTACACGGCGATGAAAGCAACACATCCTCAAGTGGCGGAATACCTTTGTCATCTAAGACAAACGAGGCGGTTAAAAGGTTCAACACTCTCTACATACCTAGCGGCCCGCAGCACGGTTATCACCATGAAGACTGGTGTTAAGCTGACGAAAGTACCAGAGATACTGGCTCTACTACGCTCCTTTAAGTTGGAAGACCAACTAAAGAAATTTAAAGCGCCTGCTTGGGATCTCAACGTAGTCTTGCAGCATCTCACCAGTGACGCTTATGAACCACTAGAAAGTACATCCTATGAGTTTTTAACACACAAAACTCTCTTCCTGATTGCCTTGGCAACAGCAGCTCGGATGTCGTAAATACATGCTCTGGACTTTGATGCACATCGCAACATCATACATCTGGGATTGAGGTGGGACTTCATAGCAAAGAACCAACTGCCCGGTCAACCAGACAGACAGTTCCACATCCCAGCACTCTCGACAGTCCTTGGGCCGTAGGATACTCAGGACCTATCCTTATGCCCAGTCAGAGCATTGAAAGTCTACCTACAAAGGTCTAAGATGAGGAGACGAAAATTCAAGCGCCTTTTCATCCCTCTATCACGTACGACGATATCGATATGGATGAGAGCCATCATCCTAAGAGCCTACAAAGCAGCAGGACTTGAGCCTCCACGAGCCTCCAACCCTCATGAAGTCAGAGTGCTGGCATCGACACTCGCTCTGCATGGAAACTGCTCCATCTCGACAATAATGGAGGGCTGCTATTGGAAGTCGGAGATGGTGTTTGCCAACCACTACCTCAGAGACATTGCTACCGAGGACATCTCCGGCATTCACCAGTTTGGGCCTCTTGTTGTAGCACAACAATTGACGGTTCCTCAAAGGCACTGAGATAAATCTCACCCTTTTATCAAGTGACTTGTAAAAGGCAACGCTCTGAAGAGCTAGAGCTTTAGAGTCCATGCGCACGTCTAAGACAGGCCAGCATGAGTGACAGACCCTGTACTTGTAAAGGACTTACTTGTACATGAAGAAGGGCCGCTTCTCCACTTGATGCAAGCATCAAGACATGGAGTCGTCATAAATCCACTCATAATGTCAGAAGAAGACGGTTCCAGAGAAATCTGACAAGTTGTGGTCCCCCCAGACTCATCAGAGGAAGCTGGAAGAAAGGATAAGCACAGTGCCATAAGACGTTCCCTCAGAGGGGTATGCAGGACGTAAATCAGCAAGCTATGAATCCAGAGTGGCTTGACCCACCACTGGTTACGTTGGATTCTACAAGCAATTAAGCATGAGTCAGGATAAGGAAAAATATGTAATTTTTTTATCAAAATTGATATTTTATACTTATCCTGACTCATGAGGTCAGCCCTCCCAACCTCCCCTTATGGCACTCTGGATTCCCTGTAATCCGGGTGTTGGGCGTATATTCGGAGAGAGTGAAGAGCGAGTTGGGTCATGTGATGGATTTCCCACCAAAATACCTAAGGGAGGTAACACTGGGTGAGTGATTTTACGTCTGCATTTTTGAAGGGAGCTTTAAAAAGGGGATTCAAGTGTTCCACTATCATTCGCAAGAAGAAGGAGACAAGCAATTAAGCATGTATCAGGATAAGTATAAAATATCAATTTTGATTAAAATTGATATTTTATACTTATCCTGCCTCATGAGGTCAGCCCTCCCAACCTCCCCTTATGGCACTCTGGATTCCCTGTAATCCGGGTGTTGGGCGTATATTCGGAGAGAGTGAAGAGCGAGTTGGGTCATGTGATGGATTTCCCACCAAAATACCTAAGGGAGGTAACACTGGGTGAGTGATTTTACGTCTGCATTTTTGAAGGGAGCTTTAAAAAGGGGATTCAAGTGTTCCACTATCATTCGCAAGAAGAAGGAGACAAGCAATTAAGCATGTATCAGGATAAGTATAAAATATCAATTTTGATTAAAATTGATATTTTATACTTATCCTGCCTCATGAGGTCAGCCCTCCCAACCTCCCCTTATGGCACTCTGGATTCCCTGTAATCCGGGTGTTGGGCGTATATTCGGAGAGAGTGAAGAGCGTGTTGGGTCATGTGATGGATTTCCCACCAAAATACCTAAGGGAGGTAACACTGGGTGAGTGATTTTACGTCCGCTTTTTTGAAGGGAGCTTTAAAAGGGGATTCAAGTGTTCCACTATCATTCGCAAGAAGAAGGAGACAAGCAATTAAGCATGTATCAGGATAAGTATAAAATATCAATTTTAATAAAAAAATTACATTATGAAATGGTATTTGCAGTACATGCCACCTGTCGATGGGAGAGCAGTGTGTGGCTATGTGGGGCTGAAGAATGCAGGAGCAACATGCTACATGAACTCAGTGCTTCAGCAGCTCTACATGATCCCTGGGGTACCAGAAGCTGTACTAGGTGTGGAAGAAGAGAATCCAGATGATGAAAGGTATGTGATCTTCTTATCACATGACAGAAACATTAATATTAGGAAGAAGTTTCACCAAATTCTGAAGTTTGCTTATTTGATAACCTGTGAATATGTTTCTAATTTAAATTCAAAACATCCTCTCTCATGTCCAAGATATTTTTATGGATTAAACTTCTTTATAATTTCCCTCACGACGTTTCGAGACCATTCCAGGTCCCTTCTTCAGGTGAACTGACAGATAGTCCCAACTGTCAGTTCACCTGAATAGGGACCTGGAATGGTCTCGAAACGTCGTGAGGGAAATTATAAAGAAGTTTAATCCATAAAAATATCTTGGACATCAATATACAACTTCTAAATGCCACTGAAAGACATCCTCTCTCATGTTGTGCACTTTCTCTTGTTCTTTTGACCATGGAGTGGAAACAACCTGGATCAAAGTTTTCTGCCTGTTTACACATCTTACCTGAATGTACCTGTGAACATCCAGGTTAGAATTAGTCTTCAGTAACCCATGCTTGTAGTAAAAGGCGACTAACGGGTCAGGTGGTCAGGCTCGCTTGCTTGGTTGACACATATCATTGAATCCCAGTTGTGTAGATCGATGCTCATGATGTTAATCACTGGATTCTCTGGTCAAGGCTTGATTATCTACAGACCGTCGCATTGCATGAGATATCTGTCACTGCCTACAACAGTAAATAAACCTGGGAGGTGTTTAAAGGGCTGAAAACTTAAAGTGCATAACATGAGATAGGATAAAGTATATATAAGTTTCAATGAAATTGAAATATATTGTTATATTGTTATCATAGTAATCAAGTAGTGATATCAAGCTTTGTGTTGGTTTCAGTGTTTTCTACCAGATGCAGCAGATATTTGGTCACATGATGGAAAGTCGTCTGCAGTATCACGAACCTGAGAAATTCTGGAGTGTGTTTAAACTGTGGGGTCAGACTATCAATGTGCGAGAACAACAGGATGCCTTTGATTTCTTCCAGGCTATCATTGACCAGGTTGATGAACATATGAAAGTGAGTAAGCTTCATATGTCAGGTGCTTACTTAAAGCATGATCATTGTTTTCACACATGCAGTAAAAGCCCAAGTTATCATCTTGCACATTGTTCTTTTACCTTTCAGTCTCACGCTTCACTCAAATCAAACTAATGATTTTTCCTTATCCTGACTCATGATCTTTTGCTTATCTCCCTTTTCCTTTCGAATGGTAGTGGAACAGTTGAATCCCTTGAAGCTCCCGCAGCGGACGTATAAATACACTCACCCACGAGTTACCTCCCTTTGCCTTTTCCCGCACAAACCAGTCATGTGACGTGCCTTACTTGTCAATCTCTCCCTTTTCGCGGATGGTTAGGCGAGCACTGGAGTCCCATAAACTGCATCATATCCTTTTTATTTAGGCCTATTCTTCAAAATTACGCTATATATGGATTTGGCTATAACTACTATGTAGTATTTGTAAAAAAATTTAAAAATTATTGACTTTGAGTCGTGTTTTCATCGTCATGTAACGTTGTTTACATTTCATGAAATCCTGCAGTGTTTGCAGGCACAGGTTATCCGTGGCTGATCCTCACCCCCCAATGTCCTTCGTGCATAAATCCATGTTCCTCCAGCTTGTGCTGTACTTATTGTATTGATTTATCAAATCTTCAATTTAATCAGTATTTGTCTTATATTTATAGAGGTGCCATGGATCGGGTGAGAAAGTCATCTCAAGTCACGATTGATAAAACTGCAGATCATCCTCCAAACCGTATGTTGCTTGCTACTGCCGATGTTCATAATACTGGTGCTATGATTAGTACGTTACAGGGGCAGTCTGCTGGTAAGGGGGCCAGGAAGAGATCGTCTACATCTCAGTCGACGCTGTCTCAGACTAAGAAAAAGACGTCATCCTCTTCTACAGCGCAGAGGGGCGGTGGGGTAGCCTAGTGGTTAAAGCGTTGGCTTGCACGCCGAAGACCCGGGTTCGATTCCCCACATGGGCACAATGTGTTAAGCCCATTTCTGGTGTCCCCCGCCGTGTGATATTGCTGGAATATTGCTAAAAGCGGCGTAAAACTAAACTCAGTCAGTCAGTCAGTCTACAGTGCAGAAGAAGTCTACGATTACCAGATCGTAGGGCAAATCTACGCGTGCTAGCTCATCTACGCACCAGAAATCCTTCAACGAAGAGATTGTACCTCCTCACGAACTAGACGTTTTTGACGAACCCCCATTACTTCTACCTGAAGTATCTATGAGATCAGCGACTCAGTAGACCTCTACTACTACGAGATCGTCCCCTACTACAGTCACAACAGGAAAGCTGTTGAAGTACTACCTCTTACTTCTCGGAGTGAAGTTGAGGCACATAACTCATCAGCGTTCGCGAAGGCTTCATCTACACCGCAGCAGCGTCAACCTATGCAGAACTTTGACCCAGGGGAATTTATGACTCTATTCACCAACCAGATGATGGCCATGATGGAACGTAGATTCCAGGAGGAATCGAAGCCTAGGAAAAGCCTCTCATCTACCGACACCGTGCGCAAACCCACAGGCCTGCGCGAATCTACTCCTATTAGATCTACACCTCAAGGCTACGTTGGCGAACGTACACCTTTGTGAAGGTCTCCACAGTCGGACGACTCTGTCATCTTGGAGGATAGAAGAGATGACGTACCTACTCTTAAATCTACGTCTGCGAAACCTCAACGTTCGTGAACATCGAAGGATCCTGCTCCTACACCTAGCCGCTCTAGGTCGAGATCTCATATCTCGCACAGACGTTCGCAAAGTTACTCACCTCAAGCCAGACGTTCGCAAAGAGATATCTTACCTCACAGAGGTTCGCGAAGAGATGTATCCACAGATAGAGGTTCGCGGACAGAACACTCTCAAGATAGACGTTCGCATAGGGAGGAATCTTCAGATAGAGGTTCACGAAAAAAAGGATGAAGGTTCGAGAAGGGAAACAGGTTCGCAGATGGATGAATCGTCGAGACCTAGCTCTCATAATCAGGAGACTTCGGACTTGCAAACAGACTTCATCTTCCCAGACACAGAAGTAACGGCATGGATTGCTAATTGGTTGAACTTGGAGTCTCCTTCTCAGGATAGAAATGAAGTCTACACTTATATGATGCTCAATGATGACTTCAACTCCGTCACAATCCCTCCGATTGAACCTATATCCAATGTACCATCCAACCTATGCACAGCCTTTGCGAAGGCTTCCAAGTATCAGAGTCAGCACTTAACATCATTTAATATGAAGAGATTCCCCCTACACCATATGGATCCATTTATGAAGGCGCCTGATTGGGATGATAACATCAAACTTGCGAATGACTCCCGGAATAAGATGTACAAAGTGGATGACAAGAAGCTATCTCAACTAGATACGGCTTCTAGGAGATCCTTCTTCAGATTGGCCAGGTCCAGAGCCATCAATGAAGCATTGATAAATAAATTCAAGAATTCAACTTCGGAAGACTGACTGAGTTTAGTTTTACTCCGCTTTTAGCAATATTCCAGCAATATCACGGCGGGGGACACCAGAAATGGGCTTAACACATTGTGCCCATGTGGGGAATCGAACCCTGGTCTTTGGCGTGACGAGCCAACGCTTTTACCACTAGGCTACCCCACCGCCCCACAACTTCGGAAGAGGATATGATGATATACTCAGCCCTCGTTACACAAAAGAAGGATCAATGCTTTTTGTCGGACCATCTCACATCGATATCTGCAGGACTCACCTTAGTACGCAGACAGGGACTACTGGCGTCCTGCTCTTGGAGTGATAGATTCACCCAACCACTACTAAGAGCTCCATGGGAGGCACCTACTAAATTTGGAGGTCTAATAGATGATGCAGCCAAGGAAGCTACGCATGATACCAGAGAGGTGATGATGATTAAAACCATAGATACTCTGGCCAACGTCATCCGCCATACTTCTCAGAAGTATAACAACAAGTCCAAATATTCCGGAATACAGAAAGCAAAGGACAAGAAGTACTCCAGCTTCAGAGGCGGCAAAGACTCTTTTCGTCGCCGGTCCGAAAATTACAGAGGAAACTCAAGAAGAGGCCGTGGCCCCAGAGCTTCCAGAGGAACTAGACGTTGATATCAAGGTTCGGAACGACTGGAGTCTTCCACCCAAAGCCGTTCCTGTAAAACTGTTGACAGTGGGTGGACGTCTACTAGGGTACTGGAAGAATTCGGGAATACTAGAGGACGACTACGTCTCTCAAGTACTAAGAGAAGGATACAAAGTACAACTAAGAACCACGTCTCCGCTAACCCTCAGCCCGATGGTCTTCAACTATGCAGAGGAACAGGCAGACAAATTACAAGATCCATCAACGCACTACTGATGAAAGATGCTGTAGAGATAATAGATCAGAATCATCTCACTCCAGGCTTCTATTCCCCAATATTTCTACTACCCAAGAAGAACTCCAAGGAGAAGTTCAGACTGATTTACAACATGCGCAAATTCAACAAAGACTACTTAACTACTTAAACCATAGAGGTTCAGAATGATCCACCTACCTCAACTCAAACTACTCATCCGTCCAGCAGATTACATGGCCAGCATAGACTTGCAGGATGCGTACCTTCACATCCCAATACATTAGGAATCAAGAAAGTATCTACGATTCCTATTCAGTGGGCAGCACTTCCAATGGAACGTCCTACCATTTGGAATATCTTCGGCTCCGTGGCTATTCACACGAATAACCAAGTCTATAGTCGCATCCCTACATCATTGAGGTCTACGGAATGCCTTCTACTTGGATGACGGAATTCAGGTTCACCAAGATGCCAGTCTACTCAAACTACAACTGAACTTCACAATCAAGTTGCTCACTCAACTAGGATGGTTGGTGAACCTGATGAAGGGACCTATTTACATGAGCCGGCCTTCGACACACATCTCTACGCAGACGCCTCGATGCAAGGATGGGGTGTGCATCTCAATGATCAAGTGGCTTCGGGAAAGTGGTCCAAAATGGGACAGCAGCTTCACATCAATCTGCTAGAGATGAAAGCAGTGATCAACGACTTACAACTCTGGTCGAGCTTGCTGAACAACAAAAGTCCACAGTGGCGTTCTTCATAATCCGGCAAGGATCCACACGGTCTCCAAGCCTATTGCAGCTCACATTCCAGTTGTACCAGATCACGCAGGAAGCAAACATCTGGATAAAGGCGTGTCACATACTCGGAGCCAAGAACGTACTGGCAGATGCTCTCTCAAGACCACTACACCCGTCACCTACGGAATGGATGCTCCATCCAGAAGCGTTTGGGAACATAAGGGAGATAGGATCCCCTTGCATAGACCTGTTTGCCACGAGGTTCAACAAACAACTACAGACGTTTGTCTCACCAGTTCCAGATCCTCAAGCCTGGGCAACAGATAGACTGAGCATGTCGTGGGAAGGAGTAAACGGCTACGCTTTTCCACCCCCGATACTACTGTCAAAAGTACTGTTCAAGATCAAACAGACTCAGATGCTACAACTGACTTTGGTCGCGCCCTATTGGCCAGCGAGAGCATGGTTCCCAGACCTAATAGAAGATCTCGGAAACCCAGTAATCAAATTACCAGATTGGCCGAACCTACTAATACATCCGCACACCAAGCAAGTCCACGGAAACCCAACAGTGTTCCAGTTACACGTGTGGACCGTATCAAAACATGCTTGAAGGAAAGAGGAAACTCTAGGGCAGCCAAAGCAGTAACACTAGCGTTACACAGATCGACTCGTAACCTATATGACGACAAATGGCTGAAGTTTGAGACTTATGCAAGGCGGAAAGGCTTCACAGTGATGATAGCCACTCATCCTCAAGTGGCGGAATATCTGTGTCATCTTAGACAGACCAGACATCTGAAGGGTTTGACACTATCTACATACCTCGCTGCAATCAGTACAGTGATTACGATGAAAACAGGCATCAAGTTGACGAAAGTACCAGAATTACTCTGCTGAGATCTTGTAAGCTGGAGGACCAGCAAAAGAAATTCAGAGCTCCAGCCTGGGATCTAAATGAAATTCTGCGTCATCTTACCAGTGATGTCTACGAACCACTAGATCAGATTACACTCGAGCTGCTAACACAGAAGACGCTGTTCCTGCTTGCGTTAGCCACAGCAGCTTGCATATCATGGATACATGCACTGGACTTTGGTCGAACCACATTCGACAGAGGGCAACATAATGCAGTTCATCTAGGACTTAGATGGGACTTTATTGCCAAGAACCAGCTACCTGGTCAACCAGATAGACAGTTCCACGTACCAGCGCTGTCTACAGTCCTCGGTCCACAGGATATAGAGGACTTATGCTTGTGTCCAGTCAGAGCCCTGATGATATATCTTCAAAAGACTGAGACGAGGAGACAAAACTTCAAGCACCTGTTCATCCCATTATCAACAGAGACTTCAGCTGCTGAAGTCTCAAGAACGACCATATCGTTCTGGATGAGAGCCATTATATTGAGAGCCTATAAAGCAGCAGGACTAGAACCTCCTAGAGCTTCCAACCCACACGAAGTCAAAGCACTGGCATCACCACAGGCTCTGCACGGAAATTGCTCTATACCAACAATTATGGAGGGCTGCTTTTGGAAATCGGACACAGTGTTTGCCAACCACTACCTCCGAGACATAGCCACTGAAGACGTCTCAGGCATTCACCAATTTGGGCCTCTCGTTGTAGCACAGCAACTAACGGATCCTCAAAGGCGCTGAGTTGGAAAATCTCACCCTTTATCACGCTGACTTGTTGATAACTTTTACTAAGGAAAAGTACTAGTTTGAAAGTCCATGCGCACAGTCTAAGACAGGCTAGCATGAGTGATTAAAGATCCTGTACGGGTAAAGATCTTACCTGTACGTGAAGGGGTCGCAACTCATTTATGATAAAGATCTTATCATAATCTATGGGTTGTTATAAGATATTTAGTAATAGGAAGATACTAGTTTATCTATAGCCACATGAATCAACGTGATTCAACTTGTCTGAGATTAAAGTAAGACAAGAAAGTGGTCCCCCCGAGTTATAATGGAAATTGGAAGAATAGGATCACGGAAATGCCATTCGCAGTTCCCATGGGGGGGATACAGGACGTATCTAAGGACAGCTGTTGAATCCAGTGGCTTGACCCACCACCAATCTGTCGGATTCTATAAGCAAAAGATCATGAGTCAGGATAAGTAGAAATATGTAATATATTAAGTAAAATTGATATTTTATACTTATCCTGACTCATGACGAAGAAGCCCTCCCAACCTCCCCCCAACACTTGAAGACACTTGAGATTTTACAGCAGATCCAAGTGCATGGGCGGAAAATCAGGAGAGAGTGACAAGTAAGGCACGTCACATGACTGGTTTGCACGGGAAAGGGCAAAGGGAGGTAACTCGTGGGTGAGTGTATTTATACGTCTGCTTCGGGAACTTCAAGGGATTCAAGTGTTCCACTACCATTTGAAAGGGAAAGGGAGATAAGCAAAAGATCATGAGTTAGGATAAGTATAAAATATCAATTTTAATTCAAATTAAAAATTACATATTTTTCAAAGACATTTAACAGCCACCTGAAATTCAGCTAACTTTGATTCACATGGTAGACAACTTGTTACCATTTATAATTTGGATGTTGGACCCTCTTCTGACATCGTCCTTAAGATGAGACCATCAATCCAGTTTTCCTCCAATCTCCTCAGGGAGGGAGCACAGGGCAGGATCACTCAGTCTATGAAACTGAAACTTGGCAGATTTAGCTCAAGATGTGCAAGGTCATAATGTCTAAACAATACTATTTCCATGGTAATTATGTGTTCAGTCATTACCCCAACATTCACTGTAAGATGTGTGATGAAAACAATATATGTTTATCTTTACCAACCCTTAAAAGACACAATGAAAAACGATTCAGTTCAGTGTCAGTTTTTATCAAGATGTATTTTTTTATGACACCTAAACAGAAAAAAATCACCCATCCCTTAACATTCAGTAAAGATTCATTGTCTTTTTTCAAGAAAACTGGAAAAGATGAGATATTCAAAAAGAAGTTCCAGGGCATATTTTCTGATCAGAAGATTTGTAAAGACTGTCCACATCGGTATGAAAGAGAAGAGGCTTTCATTGCACTAAACTTGACTGTAAAAAATGATACATTACAAGACTCACTGGACCAGTTTGTAAAGGGAGAGCTTCTAGAAGGTGACAATGCATACTACTGTGAAAAATGTGGTGAAAAGGTAAGAAACCATTCAGTTTACTCTTAAAAGAAGTGAAGTGAAATGGTTCATTATATGTGACCTTAAGAACTGTGTAGACTACTGCTGGCGGACTTAAACTGTTGGTGTAGACTACTGCTGGCTGACTTAAACTGTTGGTGTAGACTACAGCTGTTGGTGTAGATTGCAGTTGGCTGACTTAAAATGTTGGTGTAGATTGCAGTTGGCTGACTTAAACTATTGGTGTAGATTGCAGTTGGCTGACTTAAACTGTTGCTATAGACTACAGCTGGCTGACTTAAATTGTTGATGTAGACTACAGTTGGCTGACTTAAACTGTTGACGTAGACTACAGATGGCTGACTTAAACTGTTGCTATAGACTACAGTTGGCTGACTTAAACTGTTGCTATAGACTACAGTTGGCTGACTTAAACTGTTGACGTAGACTACAGATGGCTGACTTAAACTATTGCTATAGACTACAGTTGGCTGACTTAAACTGTTGACGTAGACTACAGTTGGCTGACTTAAACTGTTGACGTAGACTACAGATGGCTGACTTAAACTGTTGCTGTTGACTACAGATGGCTGACTTAAACTGTTGACGTAGACTACAGATGGCTGACTTAAACTATTGCTATAGACTACAGTTGGCTGACTTAAACTGTTGACGTAGACTACAGTTGGCTGACTTAAACTGTTGACGTAGACTACAGATGGCTGACTTAAACTGTTGACGTAGACTACAGATGGCTGACTTAAACTGTTGACGTAGACTACAGATGGCTGACTTAAACTATTGCTATAGACTACAGTTGGCTGACTTAAACTGTTGACGTAGACTACAGTTGGCTGACTTAAACTGTTGACGTAGACTACAGATGGCTGACTTAAACTGTTGCTATAGACTACAGTTGGCTGACTTAAACTATTTCTATAGACTACAGATGGCTGACTTAAACTGTTGACGTAGACTACAGATGGCTGACTTAAACTGTTGCTGTAGACTACAGCTGGATGACTCAAACTGTTGAAGTAGACTACACTAGTTGGCTGACTTAAACTGTTGCTATAGACTACAGTTGGATGACTTAAACTGTTGCTATAGACTACAGTTGGCTGACTTAAACTGTTGCTAAAGGCTACAGTTGGCTGACTTAAACTGTTGATGTAGACTACAGATGGCTGACTTAAACTGTTGACGTAGACTACAGATGGCTGACTTAAACTGTTGACGTAGACTACAGATGGCTGACTTAAACTGTTGCTATAGACTACAGTTGGCTGACTTAAACTGTTGACGTAGACTACAGTTGGCTGACTTACACTGTTGACGTAGACTACAGATGGCTGACTTAAACTGTTGCTATAGACTACAGTTGGCTGACTTAAACTGTTGACGTAGACTACACTAGTTGGATGACTTAAACTGTTGCTATAGACTACAGTTGGCTGACTTAAACTGTTGACGTAGACTACGGATGGCTGACTTAAACTGTTGCTATAGGCTACAGTTGGCTGACTTACACTGTTGACGTAGACTACAGTTGGCTGACTTAAACTGTTGCTATAGACTACAGTTGGCTGACTTAAACTGTTGATGTAGACTACAGTTGGCTGACTTAAAATGTTGACGTAGACTACAGATGGCTGACTTAAACTATTGCTGTAGACTACAGCTGGCTGACTTAAACTGTTGAAGTAGACTACACTAGTTGGATGACTTAAACTGTTGCTATAGACTACAGTTGGCTGACTTAAACTGTTGACGTAGACTACAGCTGGCTGACTTAAACTGTTGCTATAGACTACAGTTGGCTGACTTAAACTGTTGACGTAGACTACAGATGGCTGACTTAAACTGTTGCTGTAGACTACAGTTGGCTGACTTCAACTGTTGATGTAGACTACAGTTGGCTGACTTAAACTGTTGCTATAGACTACAGTTGGCTGACTTAAACTGTTGATGTAGACTACAGTTGGCTGACTTAAACTGTTGACGTAGACTACAGATGGCTGACTTAAACTGTTGCTATAGACTACAGTTGGATGACTTAAACTGTTGATGTAGACTACAGGTGGCTGACTTAAACTGTTGCTATAGACTACAGTTGGCTGACTTAAACTATTGCTATAGACTACAGTTGGATGACTTAAACTGTTGACGTAGACTACAGTTGGCTGACTTAAACTGTTGATGTAGACTACACTAGTTGGATGACTTAAACTGTTGCTATAGACTACAGTTGGATGACTTAAACTGTTGACGTAGTCTACAGATGGCTGACTTAAACTGTTGCTATAGAGTACAGTTGGCTGATTTAAACTGTTGATGTAGACTACACTAGTTGGATGACTTAAACTGTTGATGTAGACTACAGCTGGCTGACTTAAACTGTTGCTATAGAGTACAGTTGGCTGATTTAAACTGTTGATGTAGACTACACTAGTTGGATGACTTAAACTGTTGATGTAGACTACAGATGGCTGACTTAAACTGTTGCTATAGACTACAGCTGGCTGACTCAAACTGTTGACGTAGACTACAGATGGCTGACTTAAACTGTTGATGTAGACTACTGATGGCTGACTTAAACTGTTGACATAGATTGCTGTTAGCTGACTTGAACTATGGGTGTAGACTGCAGTTGGATGAGTTTTGTGTGAACCATGCTACAAGATGTTTGAATCAAGCAGAGTGTATGTGCATCTTTCAGAGGAACACCATCAAGCGTATGTGCATCAAAACACTGCCTCCATTGCTTTGTATTCAACTCAAGAGGTTTGGCTATGACTGGGAGACAAATAGAGCTCTCAAGTTTGACGACCACTTCCGTGTGAGTTCATTAGTCATTACATGTGCCAGAGATTCCACAGAAGTCGTATATCCAAATGAAAGATTAATGATGTCATTTGAACATGTTTGTTTCCTTTAGAGTTTCTAATATAATAGAAATGTATTGAAAGTTATATAGCCCAAACAGTTGATAGTATATATTGAAAAATCAATTCAGCAAAACGTCAGTTCTGAAACATACATACTTTGTATTTAGATACTAAAGACTGAGAATGCTAGCTTCAGTGTAATGCTACAGCCCATGCAGAATGTGAGCACAATGACATACAGGTTTTTCCCTCTTATTACAGTTTCCATGGGTGTTGGACATGGAGCCGTACACCGCAGATGGCATGGCCAGGCGAGAAGCTGAGAAGGTCAACAACAACAGTGACACTGACACAACAGAAAAGTTGAATGGTGACATCTCAAATAGCAGTGGGAGCATGTCTGAAGTGACAACTGACTGCACTCCCTGTCAGCAGAAGCAGATCAACTATGAGCTGGTCGGGGTAGTGGTGCATAGTGGACAGGCTAATGCTGGCCATTACTACTCCTTCATCAGAGACAGAAGGTACGAAGCTATTTGGGGCAACCCTACAGGCCTACATCACCCACAAAGTCAACCCCTGTACAGGTCTACCTCACCCACTAGGGCAACCCCTGTACAGGCCTACCGTATATTACCGTATATAAGCAGACCCCATACATAAGCCGAACCCCCAAAACTTGACCCATAAAATCAGTGTCAAAATGGTATGTTTCGTACATAATTCCGATCCCCTGCGATGGGGTCTGGCAAACACAGACCACAGACAACTGGCAGTTACCAATAATTATAACTTTGGTCCACATTATTCAAAGAATTCACAACCATATTGCGTCTACTCACACATCGAAATGAAGTGTTGTTGACAGAAAATGGATAATATATTTTGTTTCGCTAAATATCATACTTATTGTAGCTAAACGATCACATGTCAACAAACTGGCTTGCTTATTTTACCCCATTCAACAATCACAAACTGATTACCGCCTCGTGTTCCATGGACTGCTAGTTTACGGTAACATCGGTGAAAATTTGTGAATTTAAATGGCTTGCTTATTTTACCCCATTCCATGTGCTTACAACTTCCGCTTACCACGTTCATGAGGGTCCGTATAACCTTAGTGTTGATTATATATTTTACATTTATAGAGCCAAAACTGTAATTAAAATTTACACAATGCTAAAGTACTGTCGGAAATGCTAGAAAAATGCTTTTTAGCCTTAATACTTTGATAAAGGTGATACTGTAAAACGTATTATATTTCGCGCAAAACATTTTAGCGCGAAAATTTATACACCGCGAATAAACCTGTCATTCATTCAGTCTAGCCACGCTCGCCCCTGAGTTGTTACTATAACACATCACGTTTGAAGACAGAAATCAACGGGAATCTTAAAATGACGACTGATCATACTTAACTGTCGCTGTAATGGATTTCCCAAAACATAATTAAATAATGAGCCAAATCCCATTGCCGAATTAGCGAAAACAGCCATGTGTGTTGTGGCCGCCATGGAAATTGGTCACTTGACAAGGTTTGATACAAAACAGATTACCGTGAAACGACTCGGAAAGAAATAATACAACAGTATTTTATTTATTCATTAAGATTTTATTCACCAGTACATCATGAAGCGAATAGTCACTAACACTCAATCATCTCATTCACAACAACCCGGCTTGTTTGAAATCGCAAGGAGCTTCATATACAGTATAAGTTAATTCGTCAAATCGTCAGAATTCGGAACATAAGACTGATGTGTTTTTCATCTCTTCCGGGAGTAAACGGATTACTGTGTACTAGTATATCGCACAGATAGGGATTTCCAGTGAGTAAGCAATAAACGCCGCCTGACAGGTTAAGCCACTCTGTTTGTTTTCACTGCTATTAGTGGCGGCCAAAGAGACAGCTGGCAGTTCTGATTGCGCTGAATAATTGACCGCGAGATGTAGTCTAAATTGTCAATTCCGCGAAAATTGCACCACGCCACGAAAATAAGTACGTTTACAGTAAATGTACTATGTTGTCAATATATCAACTCGCCTATAGTGTACCTAATTTTGTTTTCAATCGATTTAACATTCCCATGCATTTAAAGGGCAGAGTACAGGAGAGAATATGATACCAAAACAACAACTTCAGATTTTTCAGTTCAACAACAGAAATCTGAAATAGTCTTTACATTTATGCTAATAATACAGGTGGTGTAAAAATATGAATCAACATTTTTCTTTAACAAATAAATGTTGAATGTTTGTGTTACTTTACTTAATTATCGTTTCTTTATTGAAGAAATATTAATATAAATGTTAAGTCTTGATAAATAAGTTTCCCGTCATGCATGCATATCTTTAACACAGCGTCCACTATGGCCAACTATTTGCAGTCAATTGTTGCAAAGGTTTATAAGTTTTTTGTGCTTGAAAAAGACAGAGGTAAACCTTTGATTAGTTTAGAAAGGGTTTATTACAGAACTTGTAGAGCTGTTGGTATGTCTTACCAACAAGTTTACAATATTGTAAACAAATCAGACAAGACAGGGACCGTCTCAAAACCAAAACCGGGACGTAAAACCATCCTTGACAACTTTGACAAGGGAGTACTTAGACGGGAGGTCTACAAACTTTAGGAGAAGAAGAATATATATATTCTAAAGAAGCTACACCAGTGACTTCGTTCAATCTTTGGTAATGTTCACAACTAGATTAAACTGACCGAATTACATCCATATTTTTGCAATGAAATATACTGTTGACATGCAAAACACTTATTAAAACGTTGCATATTTCTACAATCAATCGATAAGATAACACAAGTGATAGGATTCTTTCCTATGTACAGTAATTCGTATGTTTATTTCAAAACAAACACACATACACAAATGCACAAGTGATCTCCTACATAACCAATACGTATACTATACGTACACATATTCAACATTTTGAAGAAAACATCTATTGATATGACCCCTCCCCCGACCGTGTGCTCAGGTGTCAATTTCACCTGTCGATACCGTGCATGCTGATGACGTAACACAGGCAGTTAATGTTTGTATCAAATAACGTCCCACTACCCGTTATTTTTCTAAGTTTTTGGTATTTTCATCAGTAAAAACACATGTCTCAAAATGTATTCCCTCCGTCTACATTAGGTAGATGTTTCTTAAAGTGATATTTGTTATTTATGTAACTGTAATACCTCTGAATTTTAAATATAAGTCAAAAAGCACTTTTCTAGCATTTGCGACAGTACTTTAGGATATATTTCTTTGGGTTATTTTTTACTGATAACTGCGTCAGAATTCATCCTGTCATATTATTGTGCATGTTTGAACTTGATCGCTGGAAAAGTTCTGCACAGCTGATTGCTATTTCTGGCTCAAATACACACGGTAATCTTAATCTTAAAGGTCACATGCAACGTAAAACACAACTTTGCAGATTCTGATACCTTTCGGTATGGACATACCGAAACAAATCGTCAAAAATGCAAATTCAACTTATAAAGTTGAAAAATAACGCGATGAAAAACACCGCGCGAAATCGGAGTTCAAACGTTTCACTAATTTTCCCCAGACTTTTCTGGGGAAAACGGGTTTCAACAGCTGGGCTGCGCTCATAGCACGCGCGCAAGTAAATAGGTTCGCGCAGCTTGGAAGCGGGTTGTCCGGTGAATATTTGGTGAAGGCTTTGGTGTGAGCTATTTTTCTAATGTTTTGTTGATATCTCACTGGCGAGCTTTTATATGTTATTACAGTAAATTAACTGTTTATATAATTTCATTTGTCTATTTCACCACACGTTCTTCTTACCGAGTCACTTTCTCAGTTCGATACTTAAAAGCAATGTCATTATTTAGCGTTGACAGAATTTCTAACTGTTATATAGATATGTCGTTGTCACAGACAAAACTCAATGTCTTGTTTTATTGACACCTGTGTGTCTGCCTGCCTGTCTGCTAATGACAATATTCAATACACAGCTATCACTGACCACATGCAATTTGAACTTAACACCAATCAGGCTATACACCATAAACAAAACGCATTGATTTATGGCCCGAGTTCGGTCTCTGTCACATTATGTAATTACACAGACAGGCAGGTGTGATACTTGAACACATGACATGTTATGATGTCTGTTGATTGCAAAATGTTATACACAAAAAATGAGCATGTATTTACAAAACCCAACATCTCTCTCTATATATACATACAATTAGCCGTGAAGGCATCTGCAATGAACCAGCCGTTACACTTGAGTGCACACCCACCCGCACTGACTGGGTTCGGTATCCCGGCTGCTTCGTTTCTTGGGAAGTAAACCGAAGTACACAATTTTGCACTTTTGATTTGCGATTGTACGCTTATAATTTTGTTTATATATTTTTTCGTAACCAGCAATGTACATTATATGTCATGAATAAGTGATAATTGTGTTTTAATTATGTTTGATTTTTGGGTTGCATGTGACCTTTAATTAATTTATAGAGCATAAACTGTAATTAAAATTACACAATGCTAGGATATATTTCTTTGGGTTAAATAATAGTATTCTGTATTATATCTTTATCCCCCGCAACGCCGTTTTGCAGGGGTTTTAAAATGGACTCTGTCCGTGTGTGCACCGTGCGTCATTTGTCTTTTCCGGAGAACTTTAAAACCGTTCAATATTTCTTCACCAAACTTGGCACATAGATTGGTCTGGTGGTGTATTGGTGCCTTTTGGTAGTTTTGGATTTCTGAATAAAATATTTTTGGCATTTCCATGGCAACAAGTTTGACTTTCTATATACACACCTAAATATTTGACATAATCATAACTCGTAGACATAATCATGAAGAGTATTTTGCCATTGGGGGGATATTGATGACTTTGTCTTCTTGTTAATCTTGTCTAGTGATGTTTAATTGCAAATTTGACATCTTTACTGAAGTCATGTTCTGTTGTTTGTTCACGCGAAGTGATATGATGTTTTATTACCCTGGAAAAAAGTTTCCCATAGAAATCCCATAGTTATCCCATAGATAAGCCGACCCCCTTCTACAGACTGCTTTTTTTTTGGTCCTCAAAATTTGGCTTATATACGGTAATATACGGTACCTCACTCTCCAGGACAACCTCTATATAGGACTAGCTCACTCTCCAGGACAACCTCTGTACAGGCCTACCCCACCCGCTGAGGCAACCCCTGTACAGGCTTTCCTCATTCCCTGGGACAACCCCTGTACAGGCCTACCTAACTCCCTTGGACAACCCCTGTATAGGCCTACCTCACTCCCTGGGACAACCCCTGTATAGGCCTACCTCACTCTCGGACAACCCCTGTATGGGCCTACCTCACTCTCTGGGACAACCCCTGTATAGGCCTACCTCACTCCCTGGGAGAACCTCTGTATAGGCCTACCTCACTCCCTGGGAGAACCTCTGTATAGGCCTACCTCACTCTCTGGGACAACCCCTGTATAGGCCTACCTCACTCTCTGGGACAACCCATGTATAGGCCTACCTCACTCTCTGGGACAACCCCTGTATAGGCCTACCTCACTCTCTGGGACAACCCATGTATAGGCCTACCTCACTCTCTGGGACAACCCATGTACAGGCCTACCTCACTCTCTGGGACAACCCCTGTATAGGCCTACCTCACTCTCTGGGACAACCCCTGTATAGGCCTACCTCACTCCCTGGGGCAATCACTGTATAGGCCTACCTCACTCCCTGAGACAACTCCTGTATAGGCCTACCTCACTCCCTGGGACAACCCATGTATAGGCCTACCTCACTCCCTGGGACAACCCATGTACAGGCCTACCTCACTCCCTGGGACAACCCCTGTATAGGCCTACCTCACTCTCTGGGACAACCCCTGTATAGGCCTACCTCACTCCCTTGGACAACCCATGTATAGGCCTACCTCACTCCCTGGGACAACCCCTGCACAGACCTACCTCACTCCCTGGGACAACCCCTGTATAGGCCTACCTCACTCTCTGGGACTCTAGGTTTAAAAAATCCAGGTGTGGCGATACGTTTTTTTCATGTATATATATATTTTTGTTTTTCCTGCACATCAGAAGGTGTTTGTTTAACACGACACAAAGAGTGTGTGTTTACCTGTTGAGTAGAATAACTTCCTCATCACATTATTCTGCTTTAATGCTGTTATGTTCTATTTTCATTGTAGAGGCACAGTGCTTACCAATGGCAATAAGGGAAAGTGGTTCAAGTTCAATGACACTATTGTAGAGGAGTTCTATATGAATGACAGCAGTCTTGAGCAGGAATGTTTTGGGGGCAGTTACAAGGCCAAAGTCTATGACCAGTGTGAGTGCTCATTTCACATATTCTGTTACCTCTTTTATCAGCCAAGCTCTATTTGGGGTAAGCTTTGGAATATCAGGCGAGCCTCTTATGTGGGCTGGGCCAGCTTCAGTAGGGGTGAAACGGTATGCTCTTATCATGGTACGGTAGGTATTGCGGAACAACGCCTTCTGTTTGGTCTGTTTCGGTTCGATATATGACATATAACCATAATGCAGAAAATTGACAACAGCCAAACCTTACATCGTTCAATAGCATGGACAAAATAACCATAATCATTTTGAAGTACAAAACTGACATTTTATGACTAGATGGCAATGACAGTAAAACTGAAAACACCGAATTTTTAGATTGCATTACGGAATACTGAACTGAAGACAAAGTACAGCAGTTCTACTAATACCTCAGTATACCGTGTCACCCCAAAGCTTAAGCTAATGATCTTTAGCTGTTGATCTGAACAATACAACATTGAGTACAAATCATTCAGTTTTGAAAATCTTGTTCTAGGGCCTGCTTTCCTCAGTACCTTTCAGTTTGTGTAAAGTAAGAGTTGAAGGGGAGGTTACTCTTTTCAGTTGCCTAGTTGGGAGGGCCTCTTGGTGGCCAGGAATGTTTGGGCAGAAGGAATACGGTTAGCATAAGTATATCGATTAGATAAGTAGTGTAATTGTGTAGTTGTCTTAGCAGCACCTTGTTAAAATGGAACACTTTGTGGAGGAGCCAGGCAAATTCAGGACCAAATAACATTCAGTAAAACAATCAAGAGAAATGGGTATTTTCAGAAAATACAGTGGCTAAATATGAACTTAAAAACATCATATTACAAAGGTAATGTTCTTACATTTATAACCGTTAGAATTAAACATATTCAGGGCTGCATATGATTATCTGTGCATGGATGTTTCAGCAAGCTCCTCGTATCCTGAAGACCGATTACGCTACTGGAATGGCTACTTGTTGTTCTATGAAAGAATGGAGGAACCTGCAACGCCAGCCACGGCAAAGAAGAGCAAGATCGTCAAGAAAGTGCTCACAGATGGAGGGTATGTTTTGGTTTTATGTTTTACACAATCACCAGTGTCTCTCATGAATAAGTCTGAAATCAGATATGTCAGATACTTTTCAACCTCTTCCTGATTGTTATAGGAAGAGCTGCATGGACTCCAACAGCCTGATGGAACTGACTGAACTTGTCCACAAGGGAGAGAGAAAGGGCATATTTGTTGACAAGATGCCAGCCAGTATACAGCAGATCATACATGCTGAAAATGTAACCTTCGTCAAGAACAGGGATGTGTACAACCATGAGTATTTCTCATTTGTGAAGAATCTGGTTTCAGTGAATGCAGTAGGTATTTGTGTTTGATTTACTATAAGTTTGTGGTTTGCAAAAATTACATACAGTTTTGATTTTGAGCCTATTTTGATATTTGACTGTGATTTTACTTGTATTTCACTTGTATTTCTAGGAAGAAGGGCATAATGTTGACTATGGTGTGATGTGTGTACAGTCTCTTCAGCTTGGAGTCCGCTTTCTATTCAACACATATCTGAGGAATCGCCGGAAAACAGTGTATGTACAGACATTGATTCAGACATTTGTCATCAAGGAGTCACTTCCTCTCCTGTGATTAACATAAAAGGACATGTAATATTTCGTTGCTATATAAGATAAGTAATATTGAATGTGACAACTTCCCCTGACCTCTTAGAATGTTCTCCATTGTGTGTTCCATGTTTTGAAACAAAGGCACATATAAGTTTTGTTTATCGTCCTTAGGGGTGGGTATTACAGAGAATTTTCATATTGCAATATATTGCGATGTGAAAGCATACATTGCGATATGTATTGCATTATATTGCAAGAAGTTTTTGTTAACAATATGTACCGTTTTCATGTCTGAACCAATTAATACCGGTAAACCTGTTATATTGCACAGCCCTAATCATCTTTTAATTTATCCATCTTTGGTGGTACATGCATCACACTGAGGACACAGAGTGAGTTGAGTTTTACGCCGCCTTCAGCAATATTCCAGCTATATGGTGGTGGTCTGTAAATAATCAAGTCTGGACCAGACAATCCAGTGATCAACAGCATGAGCATCGATCTGCGCAATTGGGAACCGATGACATATGTCAACCAAGTGAGTGAGCCTGACCACCCGATCCCGTTAGTCGCCTCTTACGACAAGCATAGATTACTGAAGATCAATATTCTAACCCGGACCTTCACGGGTCTGAGGACACAGATTTATCTGTTAGGGGTACAATGTGTGCAACCTAATGTTCTCTCATTTGGCATATGGCTGGAAGATTGCAACACCCTTCCTAAAGTCTTTCATATTTTCACTGATTTTGATGGAATTGACTCAATTAAAGATATGCCCTTTAATTCATACTTCTGTGTTTATTGCATCAAAAATATCCTAATGCAGACCAAACAGTATGTTATGTGATTTTCTTCCTTCATGTGTTGCTCAGCGAAAATATGCTCCTTATAGGTATTTATTGTAATTTGAAAAACCTGTGAAGATCCGGCTTACAATTGGTCTTCAGCTACCCATGATTGTCGTAAGAGGCAACTAATGGGATCAGGTGGTCAGATTCGCTGACTTGATTTGACACATGTCATCGTATCCCAATTGCATAGATCGATGCTCATGCTGTTGATCACTGGATTGTCTGGGTCAGACTTTATTTTCAGACCGCCACCATAGCTGGAATATTGCTGAGTACGGTGTTAAACAACAAACAAACAAAAGTATGTTTGAAAGCAACATGTATAAACCACAGGTGAACAGGACACTTATTACTCTTGTACAGGTGTGTGGAGGCCAAGCTACCTTTGTAATCCCCGATTCAGCCTAGTTACCAAGACCTGGGCCCATTGGTTTCATCCATGTTTTATACATACCGTATCCTGCATCACTTTTGCCCTGCCTCCTACATTATGCTGGCTTGTGTTGAAACAATGAAGCACTACTGTAGAGTCAGTAGATTAAAGCGCTGTGACTGACTCGTGTTGAAACAATGAAGCACTACTGTAGAGTCAGTAGATTAAAGCGCTGTGACTGACTCGTGTTGAAACAATGAAGCACTACTGTAGAGTCAGTAGATTAAAGCGCTGTGACTGACTCGTGTTGAAACAATGAAGCACTACTGTAGAGTCAGTAGATTAAAGCACTGTGACTGACTCTCTCTATTTTTTGTACTGCAGTCAAGAGTTGGATAAGTGGGTGGAGCTTGTGGAAACACTGCTGATGAAGTCAAAGGATACATGTCTCTGGTTGGTTGAATATCTCTCCAGCAAGGAGGGACAAGAGTTCATCAAGTAGGTCACTCCTTGTTTCAGTCTATCCTCAACTGCTGAACATTATGTGTCAGCAGAGACCATATAATAGAGGGACGGCCCTCCCCAGCAGTTAATCACTAACCATCAGCGCTACGGCCTGGCATGTAACTGATACACATCGACACCCTGCTGCTAACTTCCTTCTACCGGTACACATGCGAAACAGATGCGCAGACATTCGCAAATGAGCACTCTGGTAACCACGTAAACAATATTGCGTAATATCCGGGCCGAGAGTTAATTCCCATAGCGGTATTTCACCGGCTGAGATTAACAGTTAAACATTACATGGACAGCTCCAATAAACTGATTACAATAATTTAATTTTTATCTTATCTCTCATTTGCACATGTCAACTGACAACATCGCAGAACATGTATCATTCGCGAAATGCGTGTCGCCATAATCCTGGAATGTTTGTTTCAACATTCGGCATGGCCATGGACGACTTAATTCATTCACTGGGATGATTCCGACTTGGACCTCGATACTTACTTGGAGAATTTACAGACTACGACAGGACAGAGAATATAAACCAAAAATACAAAAATCAAACTAACCCAGTCAGGTAAAGGCAGTTTTAACATTACAGTTGCCAATATCCCCGATTCTCGCTTAACGTATCATCACATGGCTAATCTCAAGATTTACTTGCAAGTATTCGTTGGCACAAAACGAGGGTGTGGTCAAGCAGTCGATGAAAGTAAAAATTCCCGCGAATTTATAAAGAATGTGCAGATTTGCAAGCGTTAGCCAATCAGATGACTTGCTTCACCACACCCCTTTTGTGTGCGGACATATCGTCATCCATTTGTGTCAAGATCGTTTAGTTGAGAGTCAAAATCGGTTTTCAATCGACTTGCAGAAATAACAATAAAGAATTGGAAGGTGTCATGAGTGTTGCTCGATAGGACAATCATCCATGATTATGTTTACATAAAGTTTTAATCGATTGCATGCGATGGTAGCGTAGCGATCGGCAACGCAGTCGGGTAGGGTGCACCCTAGAAGTGTCCAGCCTTGTCATTATGTATTGTACTGTGAAGCATTTCGAGTCGGGGTGTCATCTCAAAAACAATATTATTAAAATCATGAATCCTCGGAAAGACACGAGGGCCTGTGACTGGCTGGTGTTTATTATAAAGTTTATAGTCCCAATGAAACACGATTTCACATTATCCAAGAGCGTTAATGTTTTTATAATGCCAGTTTGGGGCTAGCAGTGATTATGCTTTGGGCTGTATGGAGACACTTGTTTTTCAAAGGGAAGCCACTAAATACTAAAGTCACTTTCCTCCGAGCCCATTAAATATACGTGTTAAATGGGCTGTACTATATTACCCTATCAATTAAAAAATTTCAGCAAAGTGTCAACTTTAACTTGGCAGGAAAATGCAACCAATAACATTAAAACACAACATCACACGTTCTAATATGTACTATGTATTTATTGTAGAATAGGACCATAGATCTATATGTACAATAATGTATTACTAAATTCAACCATTTGTATATTCTTTCATTAAAAACACAGTAAATGTGAATTTCAACTGTTGCAAATAAACTCTAAACTGAATTTGAAATTAAAATTATGCAATAGTTGGTTGCCAATGCTCTTTCAAACAAGGTATATCTACTTAAAGATCACATAAACCCTAGGGGGTACAAATACATAAATCACTAACTGGCATCGTTACAAATGAAACCCCGTCATTAAAACTACTCATTTCGACCTTTAATTGACTTAAATCGACCTTTTTGACAACAGTGCACAATTCTCACCCGCGAACGAAATTTCAACCAATCAGAGCGGCGCGTCTCTGTGACGTCATATGAGGAATAGCTTTGAAGGCCGATGCAGAATTCATCTACATTTTAGGGGGTAAATTATCTTGTTTACAGGCTTGTATAAACCTGAAATCGTGACAATTGTTGTGGAAAATGAAAGCTATATGTTCTCAAAATCTACTGTCATTTAATTTTGTCTCCTGCTTTGCCTAGTTTCCAAGTTACAACTTGTTTTCATAGACGATTCTGTCAAAATCAATTGAAGTCGTTAGGCCCTATTTGTATAATGACTGATCCAAATTGATCCCATTTCTGTGTTTTTTTACCTCATATTTAATCATGTCATGTAAAAATCTGTTTGTATTCTCAAAACAGTGTCGGCCCATAAGTTTTCACATGCAATACAGCAATTAATACTCCCTTGTTGTAACCCGTGTTAGGTGGTATAAACCTACACATGTTATTTGTCATCATTCACTTGATGGTCAGTTAATGAATTTATAACAGGTATAATTAGTGGTAACACACTTAGATTACCCGACAAAGGTTCCCATTTGGCATGTCGTGTGTCTGGAGTAAATATTCAACATTATAAACATCGATCAAAGGATTAACCGATAACACGCTGATTGATTAATTACTTTTATCTTACGCAGCGGAATTGTCAAAAGGTAGTGTTTATGTATGTAGATTTACTAATCTATACTGAATACACTCTGTCGTGTCTGTGTAAAAACAACGTCCTTCTTTCAAAGGATTAACCGGCAATACATCGATTGATTGCCCATTATTGGCTAACTAAATTACTGTTTTTAAAGAAAGGCGGCCATTATGCAATTAGTTGCCAGGTGTGCTATCTTGGGTGACCAATGAGACTATACACCAATACCTGAAAAGATTTATCACTTTTTCGTATATTAAACTGTTAAAAGACACATCATTTGGAACAGTTTTGTGGATATTGATGGATACTTTCCTCGAACAAGGTAATGGCCTGATATTGTTCCTATAACTTTAATCTGTTTTAATTTTAATATTTGCATTTTGTTTTTATTCATTTGTCGTAGCATTCAACAGAATCATTGTTTTCGCCGTGAAGTGTAATGAGACAGACAACACTAGGGTGTGTGTGCGAATTATGATTCACATTGGCAAACTATAAAATGTCTAGATATTACAGTTCTGTTATAAATTCACTATAAGTATCAGCAGATCGTCTGCTTTGTATTTAGTTTCAAAATGCATACAAGTATGATAATAAACTAATTAGGATTATAAGACCAAATATAAAGTCGCACATTGACTAGTATCTACATACTGGTGAGTGGACATTAACCATGTGAATGTAGCAAGAAATTTATTGCGCAGTATTGTGACTTCGACCCCCACCTCGCCTCCGTGGAAGAAATCGTTATGTTATAAGTTGTGTCATGCAAAATCCGTTTGGTTATGATTCCAATACATATTTAACTACGGGTAGAAAGTAGTTTTGATTTTCTAACTTGATGAAAACAAACTATAATCTCATTAATTCTAACAGACTTTACGATTTTCAAAAAATGGCGGCGCCCTGTCGGGAACATCCGCCAGTCTGAGGATAAATGCTATTTAGGTTTGTTTTCACCGAGTTACAAAATCAAAACTACTTTCTACTGGTAGTAAAATATGTATTTTATTGATGGCCAATGGTATTTTGCATGACATAGCTTATAACATAACAATTTCTCTCCTGGCAGCGAGGTGGGTGTCAATATAATACCACTTACAATATTATTGTTACTTCGACCACAAGCTCACTTCCGAGGAAGAAATCGTTATGTTACAAGTTGTGTCATGGAAAATCTTTATGGTCATCAATCATATACATATTTTACTACAACTAGTAAGTAGTTTTGATTCTTTAACTTCCGTGAAGCGATCTGAACACAAGTAAGATATCGTTTCAGGCTTCCACAACGCTCGCTTCGCACTCACAAACATAACCCATTTAGCACGAACTGCGGGGTCCTGTGGAAATCTGTGCATGGTGACACCATCGCCCGACCCCTAGGAACAATTGACGACAAAGCAACGATTCGGCATGTCGTCGATGATGTCGAGAAATCATCAAAATGATGAGCGTGCTACACACTTTCTATACAACTAACTGAAAATCGTTCCTCATATGACGTCACTGCAGTGCTCTGGCGACAGAGTTACGTAACCTGTCTGTGGTTTCGTTGCCGGGCGAGAGGGAAGCAGGCGACATTTTGGCCACTTTTAATCGCTCGGTATTAATTAACCACAAGTTTTTAAAGAATAAATTTGGTGTTCCGCATAAGACTAACTACAAATCTTTCATATGTAATGGTTAAAAGAGTAACAAAAAACAAAGTTTAGTGGTTCTTTAATAAAGATGGGAATATTGTACTTAATAGTAGGCTCTTTGAGTAGCCCTTCCGATGAAAACTTTCTTTTTCCTGGGCATCTACAAAACAAATGATAATTTTATGATATAAATATAATGTTGAATAATGAGTTCATTTTTCATTTTGTTGTTGCATAAGACAGGCTGTGGGTACTGTCTAAGCCCAGGTAAACTCATAATCAAACTTCATTAGGAAGAATAATGATAACAGAAAAATATATTAATCGTAGTCATGATAACATAAGGGAAGATGATAACTTATAAACTTCTTGCAACACAACCTGCATAGTTATGTTGTCCATTTAGGACTGATTGTGAATGTAAAACATAAAATCATACAAATCTGTACACAATCTTAATATAACTTCATTAACAGATATTTTAGATATCCATGAAGTGAACTGTACATTGGATTTTAATTTCCATAATTTCAACACATGTACTTTATTACATGTTAAATTATTAGGCAGATATTGTTGAAATAGCTCCTTCACTTATGCCTGCACCAACTGGAATCAAGTCTGCAAATCTGTCTTCATAATTGCAGACGCAAACATGGTATGTAGACAGTTTTGATAAAAGTTTCTTCATATCTCTTAGAGTGGAGAAAAATGCAGGTAAACCAATTCAGAATTCATGATTTGGGCCAAAGTCACGTTGATGTGCATATATTGCTGCTGTAAAGGATGGCTTGATGACTACTGAAAGCTGGACTGAGCCAACGTCAGTCATAAAACTGCACAATAGTAATGTTTTCCCGCTTGTTTCTTGCAATTGTAAAATT